ACTATTTATATAGAAGAAAAGTGTTCCTTTCCCTGTGGATACGAACCTTACTTCACTATACTACGTATTAGTTTTGTATTGTAATTATTTTGAGTGCACCTCACGATAAAGTGCACGTCAAATTTGGCGCCGTTGTCGGGGAAAGGCAATTAATTTTTCTTTTATTTCATTTCACGAAAAAAAATCAAAAAAATATTAAACAAAAATATAAAGAGTGTTTATTTTTCTATTTCTGAGCTTTGAGTATATGGTTAAACACCGATCTATAAACCAAATCACCTATCAAACAAAGCCCGAAACAGAACAAGCCTTCGAGAGGTTTAGGAATTTATTTCCGAATACTTCTTCGGAGGAATCATCAAGTGCTAGTTCTCATTCTAGCGACACCGAAGAGCCAATCACTATGGCCCTTGAAACAAGGACGCTGAGGGAGCTCACAGCTCCAAACTTGAATCAACAACCACTGTGTATTACCTTCCCTACACTTGATGGGGGTAATACGTTTGAGCTGAAATCTGGGTTCATTCATCTGCTGCCATCCTTCCATGGCCTGAGAGGAGAGGATCCGAACAAACACCTCTCAGAGTTTCACGTCGTTTGCACAAGCATGTGTCCAAACGGTGTAACAGAAGAACAGATCAAACTGCGGGCGTTTCCATTTTCTCTAAAGGATACCGCAAAGGATTGGCTATTCTATCTTCCTTCAGGAAGTATAGGTACATGGGCGGCCATGAAGAAAGCTTTCCTGGAAAGGTATTACCCTGCCTCTGTCTCCTCCTCTCTAAAAAAGCAAATTAGCAACGTGGAGCAAAAGGATGATGAATCATTCTACGAATATTGGGAACGATTCAAGAAACTGTGTGCAAGCTGTCCATATCACGGCTATTCGGAGCAAGACCTCATCTTATACTTCTATGATGGTCTTTGCAATGAAGATAAGGGGATGACAAACGCCGCATGTGGAGGGGGGATTGTCAACAAGACTCCTTCTCAAGCTATAAACCTTATCTCGGAGTTGGCCGAGAATTGTAGACACTATGATCGGCGGTCATCAAAACGAGTTATGGCGGCAGAATCCAACAACTCGTTGGAAAGTCAAGTAGCCGGCTTGACTTATTTGGTTAAAGATTTTCTCTTAAATCCAAAAACTCAAGAAGTCAAGGTCTGCGGCATATGCTCGACACAAGGGCACCCCACCGACTCTTGCCCAACACTACAAGAGGAGAACTCCGAACAAGTCAATGCTTTGGGGTTTCAAAATCAAAAGAGGTATAACCCTCAAAGCAACACCTATAATCCGGGATGGAGGGATCATCCTAATTTAAGGTACGGAAACACTCAACCTCCTCAACCATCAAATCTTCCTCCTCCACAATATAAACACAAGTCCAAACTTCAAACTCGAACATGTCCACCGAAGACATGATTCGATCACTTGCCATGAATATGGCAACGATGCAACAAAGTGTGGTCCAAATTCCAAGAAACAACAAAATCCAGCATCCACAACTTGGAAAGCCAAATCAGCCAAATCTCAAATGCCGTGAGTAGGCTTGAAGCTAAGGATTCGGAAAGGCTACCATCTCAAACGGAGCCGAATCCTAGGCAACAAGCCCATGCAGTCACATTAAGGAGTGGCAAGGAGTTGGTTATTGCCAAGGAGAAGGCGAAGAGCCACATTGGCGAAGAGGAGGAAGAAGAGGAGCTGGTGGAAGTAACTCAACCGGAGGTGGAAGTTAAAATCCCAAACCCGCCGCCGGTCATCCCCGAGATTGAAGCACCCTTCCCCGAGGCTCTAAGGGAAACGCGAAAGCTGGAGAAGGACAAGGACATCTATGAGACATTCTCCAAATGTGAGGTAAATATTCCTCTCCTTAACTTGATAAAGGGTGTACCTAGATTTGCAAAAAATTTCAAAGAACTATGTACAATAAAAAGGAAACATAGACTCAATGGAAAACAAAAAGTCCAAGTTAGTGAATGTGTTTCGGCAGTTTTTCAAAAGAAACTCCCAAAGAAATACAATGATCCGGGCATGTTCACTATACCTTGCAAGGTTGGAGGAACTACATTTTCAAAAGCCATGCTCGATTTAGGAGCATCAATTAATGTCATTCCTTACTCTTTATACAAATCACTTGAGCTTGGCCCTCTAAATGAAACCGGAGTAGCCATTGAACTTGCGGATAGATCAAATGCTTACCCTAAAGGTATTGTCGAAGACGTACTAGTTATGGTTGACAATTTGATTTTCCCCGATGACTTTTATGTTTTGGAAATGGAGAATGATAAGAAAGCGGTTCATGTCCTCTTAGGAAGGCCATTTTTGAAAACCGCTAGAGCAAAGATTGACGTATTTAGCGGCTCTTTAACAATGGAATTTGATGGAGATAAAGTTGAATTCAACATTTATGACTCCATGAAATATCCAAATGAAAATCATTCTTTATTTGTCATTGATATTGTTGACCCTCTTGTACAAATACTTTTGAAATTAATGGAGAGGACGAATTGTTGAGTATACTTGAGAATGACTTCGGGGAAAACTCTTTAGAACTTACCTTGACTCCCAACACACAAGCTATGATAGTGGAATTGGATACTCACTTCCAACTCCCACTTATGCCACCGGGGTCGAGGGCATTTCCACTAACCATCCCCGAAGAAAAACCTTTACCTTCAGTGTTGCAGGCACCCGAAGTTGAGATGAAACCACTCCCAAAACACTTGAAATATGTGTTCTTGGGAGAAAACGAGACACTACCGGTCATATTCTCAAACAAATTGACCGTGGAGCAAGAAGGCAAATTGATAGTGGTGCTCAAGGAGCATAAACTAGCAATTGGATGGACTATAACCGACATAAAAGGCATTAGTCCATCTACATGCATGCATCGCATCTTAACAGAGGATGAAGCTAAGTTGGTGCGACAGCCGCAACGAAGACTAAACCCACCTATGATGGAGGTGGTCAAAAAGGAGGTGATCAAGTTACTCCAAATGGGGATAATCTTCCCCATTTCCGACAGCAAGTGGGTTAGTCCAACCCAAGTGGTTCCGTAGAAAACCGGAGTCACAGTGGTGGAGAACAAACATGGAGAACTTATGCCCATCCGAATTCAAAACGGATGGAGGGTATGTATAGACTACCGTAGACTCAATGCGGTAACTAGAAAGGATTTCTTTCCTTTACCCTTCATTGACCAAATGCTTGAGAGACTTGTCGGGCATAAGTTCTATTGTTTTCTTGATGGCTACTCCGGGTACTTTCAAGTGCCTATAGCCCCTGAAGATCAAGAGAAGACCACTTTCACTTGTCCATTTGGCACCTTTGCATACCGACGCATGCCATTCGGACTTTGCAATGCCCCGGCCACATTCCAACGATGCATGATGAGCATATTCTCTGAATATGTTGAGCTATTTATGAGGGTCTTTATGGATGATTTTACAATTCATGGAGACTCAATTGATTCATGCCTACTCCATCTATCTCTTGTTTTGAAAAGTTGTTTAGAATCAAATCTTGTTCTAAACTCTGAAAAATGTCATTTTATGGTAGAGGAAAGAATTGTCCTAGGCCATGTGATCTCGTCCAAAGGAATCGAGGTGGACAAAGCAAAAGTGGAAGTTATCCAATCACTACCTTATCCTACCACCGTTAAGGAGATACGATCATTTCTTGGACATGCAGGTTTCTATCGGAGGTTCATCAAAGATTTCTCAAAGATTGCATCTCCTTTATGCACACTTTTTCAAAAGGAGGTGGAGTTCATTTTTTCTGAGGACTGCAAGAGGGCCTTCAATACTTTGAAGGAGAAGCTAGTAACCGCACCTATCATCCAAGCCTCGGATTGGTCTCTTCCCTTTGAGATCATGTGTGATGCTAGTGACTATGCGGTCGGGGTCGTTTTGGGCCAAAAGGTGGGAAGAGCATCTCATGTGATCTATTATGCATCCACCACACTCAATGATGCCCAACGCAACTACGCCACCACCGAAAAAGAAATGTTTTCCGTCGTTTATGCGCTTGAAAAATTCAGGTCATATTTACTTGGTACCAAGGTGATCATTTACACCGATCATGCGGCTATTAGGTCTTGATGACAAAGAAGGAGGCCAAACCACGGCTGATTAGATGGATACTACTCCTGAGCGAGTTTGATGTTGAGATCAAGGACAAGAAAGGCATGGAGAACTTGGTGGCCGATCACTTGAGTCGTTTGGTCCTTGATGAAGGAAACAATCATGTCAAAGACGATATTCGAGGAGAATTTCCCGATGAGACCCTCTTCTCTCTTAAGGAAATTTGTCTTTGGTACACTCATATTGTTAATTTCCTTGTTCTAAACAGGTTTCCACCAAGCTTCTCTAAAGCTCATAGAGAGAAACTCCAGCATGATGCAAAGCAATACGTATGGGATTAACCATACTTATGGAAACATTGCAAAGATCAAGTCATTCGAAGGTGCATTCCCGAAACAGAAATTGCATCCATTCTTGTTTTTTGTCACTCACATGCATGTGGTGGCCACTTTGGAGGGAAACGAACATCTATGAAGGTACTTGAATGCGGTTTTTGGTGGCCAAGCTTATTTCGAGATGCCCATCTCTATTGTCAATCTTGTGATAATTGCCAACGCATGGGCAACATCTCTCGAAAGTATGAGATGCCACAAGTTCCTATGCTCCACTACAAGAAAAACGTCTATTAGCGAAGGGAATATTGGTCGCAAAAACTAAAAAAACAGTCCCTAATACTCATTTGCGACTGCAAAATCCAGTCACCAGACAGTCCCTATAGACCTCGCCGCTAAAGCTCTTTTGCGACTGGAAAAAATGGCCAGTCATTAAAACTTATTGGGACCGCTTAAAATCCTGTCGCTAATGACATTATTTGAGACCAGGTATTAAAAGTAACTGTGACTACTTTCCCTTCGCAAATAAGTTCAAGAAACGATTATAAATTGAATATAAATCGATGAAAACATAATATATATATATATATACTAGATATGTAATGTATTGCAAATCGATGACCGAAACGATTAATAGAATGGTCCAAATAATTTCAAATATAACCAATTCAATCTCTAGTACAATTCAAAATTAAGTAGCTAGCCATCAATTTGATATTCATCATATGAATTATCTAAGCTACAAATGGTATCTCTAAATACTAATACAAAAATGTAAAGTTTGAAAATGCAGGGTTATGCAACAGCAAACTTCATTTCAAGCTCCTTAGTTTACTCTTTGTTTCCTTGGCATTGTAGCATCTCTTTAATTTTTTGGAGCTCATCTTCTAGTGCACTAACACGATTTTCTGATGCATGCAACCTTGCCTCAAGCTCACTTTTTTTAGAAGATGGCCCCTTCAAATCTTTGCGACTCACTCCACCTCCAAAGCAAACAACATGACTACGTTTTTGAGGTCCAAAACACTTCTCAACTACATCAATATGCGTTAATGATGGGTCCGCCTGAACCAGCTCACGTATTTTCTCCTACATGATACATTAATGTATATATTAAACTGCAACAAACGTATTAGCAAGGAAAATTATGATATTAACTTACATATTTCTGAATTGTTTCCGGTTCCACAAGTTGATCTTTCTTCTTGCGAGTTTCATAGAACATAACATCCATACTTGGCGGATTGTTATCTTCACCACCCTTCAAATAAACAAATATATATAGTAATGAATATTATATGCATAATCAATTTGCACAACCCACACAGTAATATTAAAAATATATACCATTTCAAAAATAAGCTCTCTAACCGGTTTGCTACCCATCCGATGTAGCATTGTCAGGTGGCTTCTATTTTTGGAGCCTCACTCACTCTTTTTCTGTTTTCATACAACATAATTAAATAATACTTGAGCAATGCAAACTCACTGTCCAATTGTTTCATACAAGGATGCTGTTGGAGCCCGTGAAACGCTCCAGTCATGGATGCCAGAAAGCTTGGGTTTGTTTATCTCACAAGTTACAAATGACAAAAAAAGGTATGAAGGGCTGAGGTTTTTAGGGGAGTTGGTTGGAAAAGTTCCAATTGTACATTTGGAAGATGTAACTGCAGCCCACATTTTCTGTATGGAAAACCCAGAAATTAATGGTAGGTTTCTTTGTGCAAATTCCTATCTAAAGTCCACCGAGATTGCGTCTTTCTATCAGCACCACTTCACTGCCATCACAATCCCTCAAGAGCGAGTGCAATTTCTTTACTGTAAAAGCTCCCTTTATTATATTAGATGTTTGAATGAATGTTATTGTTTCAGGTTCATTGAGGATACAAGGAGGGATATAAAGTGGAATTCAAGAAAGCAGATGCAGGTTTTGAGTACAAATATGACTATAAGATGATACTTTCTGGCATCCATGACTGGAGTGTTTCACGGCCTCCAACAGCATACTAATTGTTCAAATTCAATGTTCTGTCACTGTACTAATTGTTTCAAGTGCCACAATACATCTTTATTCAATTGTTTTAAAGTCTAAACTACAATAACAAGCCACTTAACTTGACTAGCCACACTTGACAACTAAAACTTAACAATCAGTAGTTTCAAATAGTGTTTCATATCAACATAAAGAATAAAAAATAATGACACTGCAGTTGGAGAACTCTTCAAAATAATCATCATTAAGAAGTTGTAGAAGCATTGTAAAGGACTCATTACTCCACTTCCCAATACTCTTGATGTGAAGCAATCTTACCAAAATGGACAACTTTGAGGACTTGGAGCCTTCAAATACAGGTTGTTGAGAGTCATTTAACAACCTATAAAATTTCTTAGCTTCAACGTTTGGTTCCTCTTCAATAACATCTGGCTTTTCACTAAAGTTTTCATGATGAGGAAAAAAATCTTGTATAATTTCCTGTGTCTCATCATCAGTATCATCTCCAGAGTCACCATAAAATTCAGACTCCAGTTCTCCCAACCTTTCTCCACGGTGATACCAAAACGTGTAGTTTGTCATCATCCCATACACTTTCAGATGGGCTTCAACTACTTCACGACTTCTCGAATATGTATTGCAACATTTCACACATGGACATCTAATTTCAAATGATTCTCCTGTCTTTCGAAATGCATAATCTAAAAAGGTCTTAATTCCTTCCAAATATGTTTCATTTAGCCGATCATTAAACAACTCAATCCAATCTTTATTAGGTGCCATCTCTACACTAAGAGGTAAAGCAGTTTCTCCACAGAATTGTGTTAAAAAATAGTGACTATACAGTTTAAACATTCACTTATTACGATTTAATGTGTCATAGAAATATCACAAGTCATTGAACAAAGATATTGAACACAAAAAACAATGACAATAGGAACAAAATAAACATTCAATGGTTACTGATTTAATGTTCCCTAGAGTTTAAAGTTTAGTGAATTAATTAAAGTTTATATTTAACAATTTAATGAGCGCTGGACTTTTTTGGTAAATAAATGTGTTCTGGACTTTAGAAATTAAAATATCATTTAGTTACATACATAATCACGTGGCTAAAACATTAAGGATTATAATTTTAAGATATCTGAAGTTTAATTAAAGTAAGTAACTGACTTAAAAAAATTAAAGGGGAGCTTGTGCACAAACTGCTCTATTTGTGATGAGATTGAGTGACTTTGGACTGTGTGTGACCTTTTATTAAAAGAATATATAGCATCTGAAAACATTCTTTAATCAAAATGTGATATTTTTTTATACAAAGATAGTGAGAAGTACGTGACCTCTCAATATTGATACAAAAATGACAACAAAGTTACAATAGTACAATGAAAGTCGCATGAGTGGTTTGACACGCAAATATCAAAAATGACAATGATATTGAAGCAAATCCAACAAGTTAATCAGTGAGTTAAACTAATCAGCAAGTTGAATGGACAATCAAGAAAAAGAAAAAGTGAGAAGAAAACAACGAAAAATGGAGTTGCCAGGTCCTATATTGATGCTAAAAACATGTCTCAGCCAAAAAATGGCAAGGCAAGGAAACTCAAGGACTAGCTATCCAATGAAGATAATTTTCTGGGAAAAAGTAGACTAGCTGAAGAAGTTTATGAATTATCTTCTGGAGATGAAAGTTCTAAAGGAATGCGAAAATGGGTTACAGAATATTATCGGAGCGGACCAAGATTGCAGGTGTTGCAAGAAAAAATTGACGACTACATAGTTGCTTATGAAGCAGAAAAGGAACAGGAGAAGAAGGTAAAAGAAGCCCTTATTGCAGAAGATGGATGGACAGTTGTATCACATCACAAGGGAAGAAAGAAGACAACAGATTCTGAATCTGGAGTTGCTATAGGTTTTGTTTCCCAGGCTGCTGTATTAGAAAATCTGGCCAAAAAGAAGCCAAACGAAACAGGTTTAAATTTGTACCAATTTCAGAGGAGGGAAGCCAAGAGAAATGAGATAATGGAGCTTCAGATCAAGTTTGAGCAGGATAAAAAGCGTGCTCAGCAATTTAGAGCTACAAGTAAGTTCAGACCTCTATATATAAAGCGTGCTCAGCACTTGTTCTGTTCAAATCTGTGTTTGAACACTGGAATGCCGAATGCCTTAATCATATGCATTAAATGGCTGCTGAATAATAAGCTACTATTACTACCACATTTTTCAGCTTACAACTCTGTAGTTTATAGAGAAATATAGAACCTAAAGTCCTAAATCTGGTGCTTATAGTATGACTGAATGACTATTATACTATCATTTCCATATTTGTAGATTGACAATGTAAACACATGAACAACATTCCACTTGAACCAAACTTGAACATCTACTTAAATATAACTACAACAGTTCTATTCCCTTCCTACTTTGTGCCCTCTTCCAGGGATGACAGCCTATGAATAATAAGTGACCAAATCATGTAATGCTCCTTCCAGGGATGACATTCATATCTTTTTATATTGGTATTAGTTACCTGTAAATTGGATGACCTACTAGGCTACTAACTGTTAATACAAAGGCTTTAGGAGTGAAAAATATGGATTGGATGTATTTTTATATATATTTACAAAAAAGACATACATACAATGAGCTTCAGCACATATGTAATAACCACTAGAGAAATAAGCCACTAAAAATGTTAAAATTCAATAAGAAGGGTGTATATGAAACATACTTTTCTATATGATCCTAAAAATAATGGGTGTATCACCAATATGATATGAAAATAGGACATGAAACTAGCAAGAAATTGTGTCTGTCCAATTATTGATTGTCTTCTTAATTTAATATCAATCTAAATTGTATAAAGTGCAGTATTCACATAGTCATGAAATATCCGAGTTCACTTTGGAGAAATGAGTTAAGGGCAGATTTTCCAACATTTTCTGTGAAGATCTAATCAAAGTACAACCACTATCATTACATGGTAATTAGGAGACAAGCTTTGTAAACGAAGTGCCTTTCAAATATATCAATTTGAAAATAAATGGATAATGGAAGAATTTACATGAAAGGTTTGGATTGAGTTGCATCAATTAAACAATTGTAAGTTTGTAACTGATACTGGAGTTAATAATGGTAAAACATCAATCTAAGTTTTAAGGTAAAACTTAAGTGGAGTCCATGACAGAAAGCTAGAATAGACTTGGTATAAATCTCAATGTACCCCAGGATAACCCTCAAGATGAAACAGATTGGGGCTATCTAAAGCTTTTCTATCTAACTTTTATTAAAAGTGATTACTCCCATACTGCCTTTTAAAAGACTAGATAGTTTAACTGGCTTAAATCCAAGAACAAAATTTTCCAAAAGCCACTACTTCAATTCTCCCTAGGGGATACTGGAGGTTTCCCTGCAGGATTATTCATACAAAAAAAGAGAGTCTTAGCTCCAGTGGAGTATTAGTTTTGGACCTTTGGTGAAAAATAATGCAATTGGCTTAACAAACTAGCCTTGAAAGCCTACTCAAAAAGCTTAATTTAGCTCACATATACTTAGAATCTTAGAGTATAGCCGTATACCAATTACCAACAAATAGAAACATTAAAGTACTTACGTTTAATAAAAAAAAACCAGACACATTACAAATACAAAAGTCTGAAATCTGAACATATACTAACAAATTCTCAACTAAACACATATTTTCGAAATTCGAACTATCATAAAAGCTATAATAACACAATCAAAATATCTTTAGCTCTTTACTTGGACTGCTTGACAGAGTGGAGAAGGCTGAGAAGTTGATTCAATTCTCAAAGAAGATGGACATCCAGAAATGGAAGAGAAGAAATTTTTTTTATCAAAGATTGGTCTTACAGATTTGATGGTGCATGCGAAATTTTAAAAAAAAATAATAATATGTTTTCCCATTTTGACAAAACATCCAGACTTAACATGGTGAAATGGGTTGAAGTTTAAAATATTTCTTCAAAAAAAATCATAAATGTCACTCTTATTCAAGGGAGCAATACCCCAAATAACAACATCAAAACCAAAATTATTGCGTAACCCAACACATTCAGAAAAGAAAAATAAAAACATGATGAAGAACAAAATGGGTTGAAATTTGAACAAAGAAGCTTCCAAAAGTAAAAAATAACAACACTTCGCAGCAACTTTAATCAGATTATCACTAAATAATGGTGGAGAAAAGTGTTTACCTCAACAACTTGACGCTATTTTGCGGAGCCGGAGTGATGGTAATGACTTAGAGAAGCAGCGAGCAGCTTCTTTCGAGTGTCACGCCAAGTGACGACGAGCGGCGCGGCCGAGTGACAGCTGAACTAGGGAACCGCTTCTTCTTTTCTCCGTTCGAGCGCTATTCTTCGTCCGTAAAGTAGGGAACGAGAGGTCTGAGAAGGGTTTTGTCCAGAGCGCTATTCTTCCGTTCGAGCGCTATATTTTTGTCTAGAGCAGGAAGTGTTCCAGATGTGGTTCCAATTTTTTAGGTTAAGGATTCCAATTTTTTAGGTTAAGGAAAAAGGTGGAAAGGTGGAACCGCCAATTTTTTAGAAAAGGAGGGATGCGGCGCGCTTCTTTTTTCGGGTGACCACCAAAACTAAAATCTTTAAGGACCGGATGTCTGGCTAATAGCGAAAGGATATTTAAATAGTCACGGAAAAATTAAGCTTTTTAATACTTTCGTGACCACTTAAAATATGGTCGCTATTGGTATACATATTGTGACCAAATAAGACGTCGGCCGCAAATTGTTTGTCGCAAAAAGTCAATTTTCTTGTAGTGCTCTACGTGGAGATCTTTGACGTGTGGGGAATAGATTTCATGGGACCTTTTCCTAATTCTCATGGAAATATATATATTCTCTTAGCGGTAGACTACGTATCCAAGTGGGTGGAAGCAAAAGCCACAAAGACCGACGATGCCAAAGTGGTGACTGAATTCCTCAAAACCCGCATCTTCTCGAGGTTTGGAGTCCCACGCATCTTGATAAGCGATAGATGCACTCACTTCTACAACAAAACTATGAGTGCCTTGTTGAAAAAATATGGCGTCACACATAAACTCTCCACCGCCTACCACCCCCCAGACAAACGGTCAAGCCGAGGTATCAAACAGAGAGCTGAAGTCTATACTTCAAAAGACAGTGAATCCAAACCGTAAAGACTGGAGCCTACGCATGGATGATGCCTTATGGGCATACAGAACCGCTTTCAAAACCCCAATTGGAATTTCACCCTATAGACTCGTGTTCGGTAAGGCCTGTCATCTTCCGGTCGAATTAGAACACAAGTCTTATTGGGCGGTAAAAACATTCAATCTCGACATGGCAAAAGCGGGAGAGCAAAGGAGGCTGCAGCTCCAAGAACTAGAGGAGAGCTTACATTGGAGTCCTATGAGAATGCCGCCATCTACAAGAAGAAGGCAAAGGTATGGCATGATAAAATGATAATAAGAAAGGATTTCCAAGTTGGAGACAAAGTCCTTCTTTTTCTCTCACCTCTTCGCCTTTTCCTTGGGAAATTGAGATCACGATGGGAAGAAACATTCGAGGTGGTCAAAGTCTACACCCATGGAGCAGTTGAAATATAAAGCCTCGACACCGGAAAAATCCTCAAGGTTAACGGACATCAACTCAAACCGTTCCTTGAAGGTTTCCCAAAAGAAAGCGTTGAATGCATGGATCTCATCGATCCAATCTTTGAAGAATGAACACAACCATGGCGTCATGCCGCGACGTTAACTAAGGCGCTTCTTGGGAGGCAACCCAAGCAAGGTATGTTTTATTTTGTTGTTAATTCCCCTGTCGAAATTTCAGTTCTATTTTTGCGAGGTTGAGAGAGAGGGCACTAATCACAGGTTTTGGAAAAAGAAAAAAAAATGCAGGGTTTGGAGCATCTAGGGACATACCCGATCGAGTACCACCTTATACTCGGTTGGGTATGGCCAAAAGAAGGGGAACCGGGTATTACTCGATCGAGGAAGCATTCAATTTTTGAAAGAAAACATGCACACTCGATCGGATATCATTATATACCCGGTCGAGTATGTACAGAAAGTCGAAGTTCAAGGGAAACTGATGCCCACATTCGATCGAGTACAGGGCTCGAAAATTGAAAAACAAGGGATACCCGATCGGGTATCACTATACACCCGGTCGGGTATGTAGAGAAAGACTAAGGTTGAAGAAAGCTGACTCCCACACTCGATCGAGTACAGGCCTCAAAACGTAGAAAAGGACACATACCCGATCGAGTATTGTATTATACTCGATCGGGTACCAGAGGCAGACCACTCAACAATCTTGGTTTCCAGCCATACTCGATCGGGCAACAACACATACCCGATCGGGTACCGGAGGTAGACTGCTCAAAAATCCCAGTTTCCAGCCATACCCGACCGAGTAACAACACATACTCGATCGGGTATACGGGCGTTTTAACCCCAAATCCGCCCCAAACACTTCATCTTCCCCAAATTCCAAAACCCAATTTCGAACCCCTCTCCCCCAACCTCCATTTTTAACACTTCTCTCTACCATATCTTCTCCATTTCTTCACCAAATCACCCCATTCCAACACCAAAATACTCCCCTCATCTTCCTTTACACACCCATACCCACCAATCCAACTTTCCCCCAGTTTCAAGAGGTCCGAAAAAACCATACCCCAACTTTCAATTTTTCGGATTTCAAGCTCAACATCACCCAAAAATGGCACCAAGGAAGGAAAAAGGGCAGAGCTCCAACACTAGGGCATCCATCCCAGGCTACGAGGACATCATCTTCGCGGACAACGAACACTGAACCTGCTTCATCTCCACAATTGAAAGGCAAGTAAAACCCTCCCGTTTTTTATGCCATAATGCCCTCAATGAGTTAGGAGTGTATAAGAGCACTAGGAAATTTTTTCATGAGTTGAGCATGGATAGTATATTCAAAATGCAATATCACTCCAATGAAAAAATAATCTATGAATTAATGAGTTCGGTGCAATTTGAGGGCGATGAAGCTGATTTTAGGGATGATAAACTCAAGTTTCGTCTGTTTAACCATAACCACTCCATAACGAAACTTGAGTTCGCCAAACATTTTGGTATTCCGGTCCCCTACCAAAAATCCATATCTGATAATACCGCTTTCGGCCATACCCTGTGGACAAAGATGACCGGGGAGACTAAATTTAGCTCCTCCCAACTGTATATTAGTCATGTCCAACATCCCGTCCTCCGCTTATTCTTGAAATTCCTTGCCAATTGCTTGCTTGGACGTCCCAACAACCATCACACTAGGATGGTGGATGTATGCCTAATGTCTGTGGCCCTATTCCGTGTTCACGTGGATTTCAATCTGTGCAATCTTATGTGGGCACATCTAAAAAAGGAAAGCGTAGCCAAGGGCGCTATTGTTGTGGGTGGGGTGATTATGCACTTAGCCACCAAGTTCGGGTATACGGATAACTCTCTTGGTTGGGCCACTCGGGATGTATAGCCTTTTCCCACACAGTTTATGGTGGAGAAAGACCAAAAAATATGTACAACTGGCTCATACACCCCAAGCCTCTCAAATACTTCCTCCTACCCAACCAAGAACTCCCCAAACTCTGCTACAGAGAAGCAGTAGAGGAGCCCCATTACCTCTTCCCACACGCCCTTCCACCACATCTCCAAGAACCGGAGCAAGAACCTCCCCAATACCAACCCGATTACGAGCCCTATGCTCAACTCCATAGCCATCAAGACATGGACAATGAAATCCCCGAACAAAACCAAAACCCTCCACCACCCGAATTCTTTCAACAACTCTTGGAGGGTCAACAACAATTTCTTACGGGGTACACTCGAATGAACGCGAACTACATGGCTATGGACAACCGGCTCAACCAAATACAGGAGGAGCAAAGGGCCGGTTTTCACCGATTGGAGGAGCTCCGGGAAGCCGATAGGCATCGGTATGAAGAAGACCAACGTAGGTTCTACGGACCTGTGTACTCTTACATGGCACAGTAGGGATCTTTTCATACCATGGCGAACCCCCCTCCACCACCCTCGTGGTATGACCCCACTCATTGGGGTAACTTTGGAGGATCTGGCTCCGGGGGTGGAGGGTACGACGGCGGAGATGGCGGGGACACATACATGGGAGATGGCGGGCAGGGGAGCAGCTTCGGAGGCAGCTACTACGGTGGAGAAGGCGGGCACTAGGGACAGTGCTTGATCCAAGTGTGGGGGATAGACTCATCATGGTATGTAATTTTAATTTCCACCTAGCACTGTGCATGTAATTCTTTTGAACTTTTTACACACAAAAAAAATAAAAGAAAATAAATGCTAGTTAGGTTGAAAACCCAACAAAATGGGCAATCTAAGCAAAAAAGGCTTATAAAAAAAATGAGATATGAGAGATATGAGAGAAATGTTTGTTTTTTGCAGGCACTCATTGTATCTCTTTGAAGAATAAGAAGATTCAGAAAACAAAGAAGAAGAAGAAGAAGAAGAAGAAGAAGAAGAAGAAGAAGAAGAAGAAGAAGAAGAAGAAGAAGAAGAAGAAGAAGAAGAAGAAGAAGAAGAGAGGAGGAGAAGAGAAGATGAACACTAGAAGGCCGTAAAGCCCAAGATGTTCTTTGTAATTTGAGTTTAAAACTCATTTTTGTCATCCTTGGTGGTCTTTGTGTTTGTATGTTTTTTGTTTAAAACTGTGGAAACTTTGGAAAAACTTGACACTTCTGAACATTTGATCTTACTCGAGGACGAGTAAAGAAACTAAGTGTGGGGGAGTTGATACGTTTGTAATTTCCATGTGTATGTTTGTGTTTTTAATTAGTTTTGCTTGATCTTTACTTTGGAAATTACACACTTTTGGTGTAATAGATTAGTTTGTTAAATTCTTGTAAATAGTTTAGATTAGGTATATTCTGAGCTCAAACAGGTCTTGATCACTCAAAGTACAGTTGGTGAACCCAAAAAGTGCAAGGAAGGTGCATAATTTGAAGACAAAAGAAGGATCCTGAAATTTTGATCTATACTCGGTCGAGTATTACCTATACTCGATCGGGTATTAGGTTGAAACTTCAAATCGGATCAGATCCGAAGACAAGGGAACATGCCGGGAAGATTTCAGCCACGATTAAATGTCTATACCCGATCGGGTAGACCGACATACCCGATCGTGTATGCCTTTGAGTTTTAAACGAAAATCGGTCGAGTATGGCTCGAATATCACTTTCTAAGCATACTCGACCGGGTATAAACATATACCCGACCGGGTATACCTTTGGAAAATAGCCTGAAACCGATCGAGTATACCTCGAATCGGGTATTACACACATACTCGATCGGGTACCATGTATATACCCGATTGAGTACCCGAATCCCATCCCAAAAACCTATAAATACACCCCCTTTTCCTTCACAAATGATGATCCAATTCTTTTCTACATCTAAGCTCAGTATAGAATAGTTCTTTCTTTATATTTTTCATCATGTTAATTCTCCGAATGAGGAGCTAAACTCTT